GGGAGTCAGATCCCCTAGAACTGGAGTTATGGACAGTTGTTAGCTGTCATGTGGATGCTGGGAACTGAACCCAGATCCTCTGCAAGAGCAATCAGCATTCTTAACTGCTGAGCCATCTCTCCACCCCCCGACAATTGTAATTTTTAATTTAGTTTTATTTTTGATTACCTGTGTGCGTGTGTGTATGTGTACACACTCATATGAATGCAGATGCTTGAGAGGCCAAGAAGGCACTGGATCTCCTGTAACTGGAGTTACAGGGAGATGTGAGTGCTAGAAACAGAACTCAGGTCCTCTGCAAGAGCAGTGCATACTATTAATCAAGGAGCAATCTCTCCAGTCCTTGTTAAATGTTTTTAGGATGGTTTCATACCACGTGACCTAATCTGGATACCAAGTCACAGAGGAAGGCACTAGATAAGAGTAAACTTATTAAATACAAGTTGCCTTGAGTCTGAGCATCAAGGGGCTGAGCTCCTTGCAGTTGCAAAGGGGAGAGAGATTGCGAGGCCACAGCAGGTTGCTGGAGTGTGGCCTGATTTCCCTGAGGCCTCTGTAACCTTCCACCTATAGTGTTAGGCTGATGTGGAGCATTTCAACGCACTCAAAGTTCCCCATTCCTTTTGAATTTTGTGGTTCAGTCTGAACATCATAAGTGATATACTCTTTAAACAAGCACTCTTTCATACTGTGTGAAGGCTTAAAACAAGGAAAAGTGTTATCCTTTAAGCTAAGTGGTAAGGCAGCTTATAAAAACTGCCAGATCCACAGCTCCAAGGGCGGCCCTTCTCTACTAAAGATCTGTCTGCTGAACACAGTGCGAGTGTGTGAGTCACTGTTCTCTGAACAGAGAGATGTCCCATGTTGCTGATGTCACAAATTACTGTCTTTATATCTGCTTGTTTTTGCAGGACAGTGAAGAGACTCACTCCACAGACAGTCCAGCACTGGGTCTGTGCACTAGATAGAAAGGAGACAGGGACCTACATGAACCAGGGCCATGAGCTCTTTCTTTTCTATATGAGCCAGACAGTTGTTTAAAATTGACTGTGCTGGATATGGTGGTGCATGCCTTTAATCCCAGCACTTGGGAGGCAGAGGCAGACAGATCTCTGTGAGTTCGAGGCCAGCCTGGTCTACATAGTGAGTTCTAGGCCAGCTGGGGCTACAGGGAGACCCTCTCTCAAATTAATTAATTAAAATAAAATAAAATTTGACTGTGACTGCCAACATCAATGCTGGGAAGGCCACAGATAGAAAGTGCAGGAAGGCTCCAGAAACCTGACAGTGCATGACTCAGGTGATACAGTTAGTTTCCTGTTGAGAGTCAAATGCTATGGTTGGTGCAGATGACCCTGAGAACAGGACACCAAGGACACCATGGGGTATGGGAGCACTGTTCTTGTCCAGTCTTTCTGGAGACACCCTGCATTTCTACCATTTCCAATCCACACATTTTCATTTCCTTGTCGTTTTGGTTGTTGTTTGAAAGCACTTTGCCTTTTAATAAACAACCCAGTTGTTCAAGTCTAAAAATGAGTAATTCAGATGCAGTGTTTTTTCCTCAGAGCCCCTGGCTGCATGGGCGGTGACAGGTTGGCATACCCATGGGTTGGTAAAATTGGTAGGAGGAGGGGGAAGGTGCTGAAGTTGGCCAACCGCCTAAGGAACTCTGTACATAAAGGCTAAATAGGAACCTTGAATGCCTTGCAAACTTGCTTTATTTCCTTAATGGGAAATATCAAAGGCATACACCTTTGTAGGTGTTAAGTTTTTCTTTTTCTTCCTTTCTTTTTTATTCTAAAGACAGGGTCTCCATATAGCCCCAGCTGGCCTAGAACTCCCTATATAGACCAGACTCACCTACCTCTGCTGTCCAAGTGCTGGGATTAAAGGCATGTTCGAACAGGCCTGACTTGGGTATAAGTTTTCTTAATGAAAGTTCTAACTTTAAGTGAACTCTTTCCAGTCCTCTGTGTAGAAGAGTCCTACTGTTGGCCTTGAAATGCTACAAAACTACGGGCCTCTGAGTTATTAGTAAATGAAAGAGCCCAGTGCCACATGTTTCCATTCCACTCTAAAATTTTCTAATTCCTGAAATAGAAACTAGTCACTGACCTCTAGTACCTGGCCATGCAGCTCATGGTGAAAGAGAAGTCAATGTGAGACATGGCCCTGCCTCTGAGAATGTAGAGTACAGCTAGAGGGACAGAGGCTCGGCCACATAGAGCCCAAGTCTAGACCCTAGTTCAGACAGCAGGTGTCAGCAAAGACGTCCCGAGGTGAGGAAGTGTGCAAAAAAACAGAAAAAGAGGGATATTCAAGAGAAGAATGGCAGAGCAAAGGCTAGGAAGGGTGATCAGTGGGCCATCCCAGAGGATCAGGGTGTCCTAGTTTGCTATAACCATGATCAGAAACAACTTGGGGAGGAAAGGGTTTGTTTCATCTTATGCATCCAGGTCACAGTCCAGCATGAAGGAAGTCAGGGCAAGAACTTCAGGCAGGAACTGAAGCAGCAGCTGTGGAGGAAGGCTGCTAGGCTGGCTCTCTGGCTCATGCTCAGCAAGCTTTCATATACACCCAATTCCACCTGCCTAGGGATGGTGCTACCCCTGGTGGGCTGGGCCTTCCACATCAACGATCAGTCAAGACACATCTCATAATTCAGCCACAGACCAATCTGATCAAGGCAATTCTTCAGCTGAGCTTTCTTCTTCCCAGGTGATTCTAGGTTGTGACAAGCTGACAATAAAAACTAACCAGCACACAGAGTGAAGACCAACCTGAAGGGAGAATGGCTTCTCTCAGAATATGAGAATAGGGCTGAAGTGTAGGGTGGGCTCCGATTCCACTCCTATGACTCAGGCACTCAACCTTGGACTTGACAGACTAAGCAACAGGGACTGTTTTAAATGTGTCCTACACGATGGCTACCAACTGTAACTACAGTTCAAGGGGATCTGATGCCATCTTCTAGCCTCTATGGGCATTGAACAACAAAACAGACAAAAAGAAAGCAAAAAAAAAAATTTTTTTTTTAAAAAAAGGAAAAATACAATTTACTTTTCTGTTTTTTTGCTGTCGTTTGAGAAAGGGTCTCATAATGTAGCCCTGGCTGGCCTAGAACTATGTAGACCAGGTGCTGGGATTAAAGGGGTATACCACCACCATATCTGGCTCCAATTTACTTTCCTACACAAAGCTTGCTTTAACAAAATCAATTGAGGGACTGGAGAGATGGCTTAGTGGTTAAGAGCTCTTATAGAGGACTGGGGTTCAATTCCAGGCATCCACATGGTGGGTAACTGCCACCAATATCTCCAGTTCCAGGGGATCCAATACCCTCTTCTGGCCTCCGCTAGCACTTACATACATACAGGCAATACACTCATACACAAAAAGTAATATTTTTTTAAAAATCAAGTCACAGGATTTTCTGTGTAGCAGCTTATTTGGAACAAAATTAAAATTCCAAACTAGTTTCCCTTTACAATTTTGCATCCTTCTTACCCACTTACAACCATTAATTGGGATATACAAAAACCTGGGCTTGAAGTTGGAGAGGTGGCTCAGCAGTTAAGAGCACTGGCTACTCTTGCAGAGGACCTAGGTTTGATTCCCAGCACCCACATGGCAGCTGTCTCTAACTCCAGTTCTAGGTAATCCGATACCCTCTTCTGTCTTGCATGTATGGCTGCATTTACATGCATTCAGGCAAAACACTCACACATATATTAAAAATAAATTAAAAAAATTTAAAAGCCTGAGCCTAATTTCAATGCTAATTTAAATTCTGGCAGGACTGTTAGAAGGACATCGGTTTCCCTGGCCTCAGGTTGCATGGGAGGACTTCTCTTCCATGCCTTCCTGAGAGGGGATCTGCCTACTGGGTGAAGTTGGATGAAGCACCTCAGTGTGCGGGCTTAGCTCTGCATCCCTCCTTCAGAAGATGCAAAGCATGACTTTGGGATTGCTGCCATCTCTGCAGTAAGAAGGTTGTTTGTGGCACAGCTGTCAGGTAAGTGTCCCTTCCATTACAGCTGTGTGTGTAAACGTCTAACTTACCCCGAAGCACTCAGAAGTCCATTGTGGCTGAACTTAGAGCCACGTCTTCCTATTAGTCAGCTTCTGTTAGTAGAAAAGCTAGTCTGTAAATCTCCATCTGTTTGCATCCTGTGTTCCAAGATCAGTGCGGAAGAGTCCCTCAGGCTGCCCCGCTGCAGCCCCAGCACAGGACCCCACAGCACTTGTACACATATTGCCTGAATTCATGAACTTGCCCTGTATCTCCAAAATGACTCTTGCCCAAGGAGGGTAGAGCTGAGGCAAAGATTTTAGAAAGATGTGTAATGAACATACTAACAGCACAGCACAACAAATACAAAATGTGTTGTTCTCACACTCGGCAGTATTTACTAGCAAATGAATGCTTAATTATAAAATATAAAATAATGCTGCATTCTGATTTTGAGAAGAGTCTAGTGAACATCACACACACACTCCACAGTAAACATTTAATGCCAATGACATTATCATCTCTTAAGAGCACTGAAATGGTATAAAATCAGTATGCATGCAAATGCAGTAAAAATGAATTAAGTGTTTTCACAATTCCAATTTATTATATGAAGGAAGTTAAAGTCATTAGGTTGTAAGAATTCAATCCATGTATTATATGCCAAACCAACAGAACTGAGGAACAGTGTACATGATCATCAAGATGAAAAACTAAGGGCAGAGTCATAAACGCATTGTCATAATTGGTTTCAGCTGTCAACTCACGAAAACCTAGTCACCTGGGAACCTCACCTGGAGAATTTCCCAGCTCAGACCAGCCTGTGGCCATGAGGACATTTTCTTAATTGCTAATTGGTGTAGGAGGGCCCAGCCCACTGTGGGCAGTGCCATCCACAGGCAGGTGGCCCTGGGCTAAGAAAGGGAGCAGCTGCTGTGTGTGGTGGCGCACAGGTTTTTTGGTTTTGTCTTTGTCTTTTTGCCCCCACCACTGGTGGCGCATGCCTTTAATCCATGCACTTGGGAGGCAGCAGCAGCCTCCCTGCACACCTCAAAGCACCTTCCAAGAAACTTACTCATGCTCCCACACCACAAGGAAAAGACAGAGAGGCAAGACAACAGGCCCTTTATTCAACAGCGGCCTGGAGTTGAGGTCTCCAACCTTAGGGCAGCCACTTCCCCTGACTCTGCTTCTTTCCCACACTTTGGACCTTTGCAGGCTACAGCTTGATGTAAGAAAGGGCATCCTGCTATATATGCTTATACACGACCTTGGAGGGCACAGTTTGGAGGTGGAGTCTCACAGGACATTTGTAAAAGTAGGACAGTAGTGTCTCACTGTAGCCCACAAGGAAGTAGAATTTGTATGGCGGCAGCTGCCTCAAGATCAGGGCACAGATGTCCAACTGATTTGCCCGGCGCTTCAGGACAATCTGGTCAGCCAAGCAGCCTGGAAAGGTGCCCATCATGAACTTACGAAGGAAAACATCCTCTAGGGTTCGCTCTGCCGCATGGTCCTCTCCATCCAGGTTACCTAAAGAGAAGATACCACAGAGTCAGCCCTGTTGCCAACCAGGCTTCATAGACTCCAGACCTTATGTCCAAGAGGATTAGGCACTCAACCACACCCCTTGCCCCTAGCCTCTTCCCTTTCTTCTAATAAATAACATTTAAAAATCCAGAAGTTCAAAGATGGTGAGGTGGCTCAGCAAGTAAACATGCTAGCCATACATACCTAATGACCTGAGTCCGATACCCAAAACCCTCTTTAAAAAGCCAGTTATACTTTCAGTGTCGTAGTTTTTTGAGTTCCCATGCTCTCTTGTAAGTAACCCTCATCCACATACTTTTAAGTAAATCCATTAATTTGATTCACACACAGAGAAAAAGCCAGATGCTGTGGCTCACATCTGTAATCCCAGCACTCTTACAGCAAGATGGGAGGTGGAAAGAGAATAGGACCAGAAGCAAATAGAAACAAGAGAGCCTTGCCTAAACAAGGTGGAAGGAGGGAACTGACTCCTGAAAGTTGTCCTTTGACCTCCACAGTTGCATGCATGCATGCATTTGCATGCGCACGCGCGCGCGTGCGCGCGCACACACACACACACACACACACACACACAATTTATACAAACAAAATCCAGGGGCTGGAGAGATGGCTCAGCGGCTAAGAGCACCGACTGCTCTTGCAGAGGACCCTGGTTCGAGTCCCAGCACTCACCTGGTGGCTACGAACCGTCCTTAACTCCAGTTCCAGGGGAATCTGAAGCCCTCTTCTGATCTCCGAGGCATTGCACGACACAGGTGCACTCACATACATGCAGGAAATACACTCATACACACATATATATATATATATAAAATAAACAAAATACAAAGTGCAACATCTTCTCAAACCAATCCTTTGAAGCACTATCATTCTCCTTACTTAGAAAAGACTGAGACCCGAGGGAAGGCACAAACTCTGGTGACAACCTCCATCCATACTGCACCCCCTTCCCATCTTCCTCAGCTGCATGAGTAACCCCATGGGTCAAAGAGATGAGGCCACCACCTACTTCTGAAATTAGGAACAGTCACTTCCAATGTCCCAGGCTTCGATCAGTGGGTACCTGCCATTTTACAGTATGTTGTCAAGAGATTCCACAGCAACACCCAGACCTCAGAATAAGAACATGAAGTGATGGATTCAGGGACCAAAAATTGTATCTTACTTTTGGGCAGTGAATTGAAGAATCTGTATTTTAAGTAAGTTTCACAGGTGCATTCTAACATTCAAGGTGAGAACTCACATTTTGGACAAAATACAGGTTCTCTTTAGTTCAGTTGTCTTCTATGTCATTGTAAACACTAAGCTAATGAATTCTGAACCACTGCTCCTACAGGGGAATGCAAGGTAAGATTTGTGCAAGTCTCTAGTCACAGTGTTTTTAATCAACAGATGAAAACATAATCTACTTTTACATGCCCTTCTGATTAAAGACACTCTGTTAAATATATACAGCCAACTCATTAATACTGAGCTCTCGGAACTCAAGCCTGAGTAAAGCTCATCGAACAAATGTTCTCTCCATAAGGCACCTCAGTCTTGAGCTCAGGAACACTAGATGGGACTTCAGGGCCATTTAAACAGCCAAATCCCCAACAAAGTCATGATCATTTCTTAGGTTTAGCTATAGGCCATGAAAAGAGTACTTTTTACAGTATAAGAGTGTGTTCTACCTCAGCTGGGAACCCACATGTGAGCTTTGCTCTGCCCCATCCCTCAAAGTATCAGAGTATTGACTTTGAGGTTACAAATAAATTTTAATCAGTGTAAGAATATGCAAGGCTGTTGGGAGGGGTGGTGCATATCTTTAAATGCCAGCACTTGGGAGGGCAGAGGCAGGTGGATCACTGTGAGTTCTGGGCCAGCCCGGTCACAATGAGTTCTAGGCTAGCCAGGGCTATAAAATCAAACCTTGTCTCAACATATAGAATTCCTGGGCCTCCTACCTTTGCTCCCCAAGGGCTGGGGTTATGAGTGTCTGCCACCACCAGAGTAAAAAGTGTGCGGCCTGGGTGTGACAGTGCACATCTTTAATCCCAGCACTTGGGAGGTAGAGGCAGGCTGATCTCTGTGAGATTGAGGCCAGCCTAGTCTCCATAGTAAGTTCTAGGCCAGCTTGGCTGCAGGGAGACCCTGTCTCAAAAAGACCAAAAAAAAAAAAAAAGGCAAGATCTGGGGGTTCAAATGCCAGAATCACAAATAAAGTAAGGCTGTGATATAGACATACCTATAAACCTATCACTGGGAAAGATGAGGCAGAAGTATGTGAGTTCTAGGCCAGCCTGAGGTACATTGCCAGACCCTGTCTTATTAAAAAAAAAAAAAAGAGGGGGGAGTGGGGGGAAGGCAAGGCAGTTCAGCAAGTAAGGGCACTTGCTACCAAGCCTAACAACTTGAGTTTGATTCCTGGGACCCACAAGGTAGGAGAGAACTGACTCAAGACAAGTTGTCCTCTGACCTCCAAATGTGTGTTGTGGCACATGCACACATGCACGCCTACACACACATCACGCACACAGAGAGAAATAAATGTAAATAAAATGGGGGGGGGATTTAAAAATCTGCAAATATGGGTTTGGGAATAATGAAGGTTAACTGCAGTACACACCTGCAGAGAAAACTGTGTGCTCTGGTGAACTTTGCATTATTTAGAGCACAGTCTTCCAGGTCCATAATTCTATGGAGACTTCACTCCTGTTGCCCCTGAGCTATTTTACATCTCTGCAAATTACAGCTGACTTGTAGCAATGAAAAATCTTGTTTGCAGGCATGCAAAGAATTTGTGTTCTGTGAGGGCTCACGAGCCCCTAACTCTCATACAATAAGCCATTTCAAATTCCTTTCAACATCCTATCTATGTGTCCTGAGGGTGTTCGGTTGTGTGCGTAGGTGTGCTCCCCGAGTGGAGGCCGGAGGTCAATATCCAGTGTGTTCCCCTATTGCACTCCACTTCACTCTGAGAAAGACAGCTGTTCTTTAGGCTAGACTGGCTGACCAGTGAGCCCCAAGGATGGCCTGTCTCTTCTCCTCTCCTCTCGACCCGGGTGCTGAGATGCGAACTCGGATCTCCGTGCTTGAGCAGCACGCACTTTACCCACTCAGCCATCTCCCCAAATTTCTGATCCTGGCCTTAATGACCACTTTGAAATGTCATGTCACCCACGACATGCTTCACGTGTCCGGTGCTTGCACGACAGTCAGACTGACCGGTCGCACACCGGGTCTACGGTAGGCAGCCGCAGTCGCCTCACCAGTGTGCAACGACAGCCAGCCCTTCCGGTGGGCGATATGGTGCGGGCCGAGCGCCTCCTCGTAGTTCACCGGCTTGTCCCCTTTGCTCACGCGCACTCGTGCCGCCCGGTTCTAGGAGTAGAGCGGAGGTCACTCGGAGGTCACTCGGCGGTCATTGGGCAACCGCGCCCCACCGGGTCCCCCGCACCCTGGACCGCCCGGCCGCGCTCACCTTGGCACAGACAGCTGAGGCGTGCAGAGCGCGCCAGGCGCATGGCGGCTTCTGGCTGCAAACCCGCAGCACCTGCGGAGAGAGGGGCGTGAGCAGATCCCGGGCAGCACCCCAGCGCGCCAGCCCCGCAGCCACTCACCTGCGGCCCCAGCCGGCGGAGGCATGCGGACGCTGCCATCTTGAGCCAGTTGAGCGCGGGACGTGCCACTGCGCAGCCGCAGGAAAGAAGCCGAGCCAGAGCAAACCGGACCTGGGCGGGGCTTTGTCGGGACCCGGCTTGAAGGAAGGGGGCGTGGGGAGCCGGGAGCTAGACGATTCTCCGGTGTTACCTGCCAGGCCTAGGACATTCCTGGCGTTAGACTTCAAACGCGGAAATCTGATGACACCAAACTGGAGGTTTCGCCCTCAAAGAGCGGGCGGGAGGAGACGCGATGGCGTTCCGTAGAGAATGGCAAGAAAGAACGAGCCGGTCCTCCGACGTCTCAGGGCATGGACTCTCACCAGAGCCAGCGGTTTTGTTTTTGTTTTGAATTTCTGAACAGCCCACGCTGCCCCGAACTTCTAATACTACAGCATCAGACTCCTTTGTGGTGGGATTACAGTCGTTTGACACCATGCTAAGCAGATCCCAGAAATTAGGTTGCTGGGCTGGCTAAGGGGAAGGAGAGGCAGGGTACTGGGTATGTAGCTCAATGGGACTGCCGGCCAAGTAAGTAAAGAAATTTTTAAGTAGCTAGGAAATGGTGGGGGCTATCGCAGGGCCTGTTAGTACTGAAGCTAGAGCGGTGCCAGTGTAATCGCTATCTAGTAATTATTAAAGTCAGAGGGAAAATAACGCGTGTATAGTTTCTTTTTAGAACTCACCATCCTAAAGAAAACAGGTGGGCTCTGGAGGCAGGCTTTTGTTACAACAATCTTCATGTTAGCTACTAAGGGAGGTAGGAACCTTGAGAAGCAAACCCTTATATTAAATCTTATCTTCTTAAATTATGACTTTAAAATGAGCATGATCAGAACTGTACTCCTTAACTGATCATACTTAGGATTAACCCAACTCGTATATAAATATGTACAAGATAAAGTCCCCATTCTTTTCGTGTTCAAGAAGGGCATTGTTTTGGAAATAACTCCCATGTTCCTTGCCTGTTGCAAGCAAAAGTGTTTGACTTGTTTTCAAGACAGCATTTCAAGTAGACCATATTGGTCTGGAACTCAGCATGTGGCAAAGATTAACCTTGAACTCCTGATCCTCCTGCCTCTAACCCCCAATTGCTGAGATTACAGGTATATGCCACACTATCTGCCCACAGGTAGTAAATCTTTCTCTACTCTTACTTTCTCTACTCTTGGCTTTGCACTCACCAAAATACAGACCTGTTACATTTGTACAGTTGAGCCTCAGTTTCATTATTTACCCACATGGCTAGTGAGATAGCTCAATGGTTAAAGGCACTTACTGCATAAGCTTGATGGCCTGAATTTTATCCCCAGAGTCCATGTGGAAGAACAGAACCTACTTCGCAGCAAAGTTGTACTCTGGTCTCCACATGTGCACACACACACACACACAATTCTTAGAGCCATTAGGATCATGAAGGTATTTAAATAGCCAGGAATAGTACCTTATTCCTATAATCCCAGCACTTGGAAGGCTGAGAAGGAGGGATTGCTTTGAGCGTGAGGCCAGCCAGAGCTATAGAGACCCTGTCCCCAAACCAAACAGAATATTTAATGGCAACTGCTATTAGTTGTGTTAGACTGAATCACCTGAAGCTGTGGGCATTTGGCTGTTTGGGATCTCATCAGTCAGCTAATGGTATTTGCACCCCAGTGTTTCCTGAGGGAGGCAGATTACACTTATGGGGAGGGAAATGGAAACAAAGGTGGATAGTTAGTTGCCTACAATAACTGTGGGGCAGATGCATAGTGACCTGTCTCTTGGCTTCAGTTCAGTCCAGGGTCAAAATTCCTGTGGTCATTGAATCTGGGTTGTCAAAAATTCTTAAAAAAAGACGAAGGTCTTTCATCTAGCCCTCACTAGGGGTGTTTTAGTCTTGTTTAGACTATGGCTTACAACTGTTCCAAATATTAGATAAAGGGATTTGTGGGAATGTGATGTTTTCCAAAATACATAATGCCTTGCAACTATAAACACTCCTAATTTTTCCTCAGGAATCCCTTTAAACTGAGGGGTTTTTTTAAATTTTATGTTTTTTTTAAAGTTTTGCCTACATGTATGTAAGTGCACCATGTGTGCATACAATGCCCATGGAGGCTAAAAGGTGGTGTCGTATCTCCCTGGAACTGGAGCTACAGATGATTGTTAGCCACCATATGAGTGCTGGGAACCGACCCCAGGTCCTCTTCAAGAGCAGCCAGTGCTCTTAATTGTCTCATAAAGTGTGATAATTTTTTTTTTTGTCTTTTTGAAGAAGGGTCTCCCTGTAGCCCCAGCTGTCCTGGAACTCACTATGTAGACCAGGCTGGCCTTGAACTCATAGAGATCCGCCTGCCTCTGCCTCCCAAGTGCTGGGACTACAGGCATGCACCAAGCGCAGGTCAAGTGTGATTAAATTTTTTAAATTTTTATTACTTTATGTGGATGAGTGTATTGCCTGCTTGTATGTGAGTGCACCCCTGTCATACAATGCCGCGGAAGTCAGAAGAAGGCTTTGTATAACCCTGGAACTGGAGTTAAGGATGGTTCATAGCCACCATGGGGGTGCTGGGAATCGAACCTGGGTCCTCAGCAAGAGTAGTCAGTGTTCTTAAGTGCTGAGCTATCTCTCCAGCCCCAAAGTGTGATCATTTTATAGTTTGATAGATTCTATGAATTTGCTCCAACATGGAGAGGATGTGGTATTGGGCATCTGAACTATCCACATGGACAATGACAACTTCCCCAAGTTCAGGTTCCCTCATCTGTAAAACCGGGACAGCAATGGTTATTGTGGGGCTGGGGGTGTAGCTCTGTGGTAGAGCACGAGTAAGGTCTTGGCCACTTAAATGAAATGGAAAAATACATCGTATTCAAACAGTGAGCAGTTAAGGGTTTGTTTTAGGCTTTGGTTGGTTTTTTTGTTTTTTTTGAAGACAGGGTCTCCCTGTAACCCCAGCTAGTCTGGAAATTTTTATGTGTGTGGTATGTATGTATTCATGTTCATGTGGAAACACACATGTGTAGGTTCACTTGCACATGGTATGCAGAGACAAATGGTTGATGGTGTCTTCTTCGAGCACCCTTTATTGACTGAGGTAGGGTCTCTCAGCAAACCTGGAGCTCTCCAGTTCAGTTAGTCTAGCTAGCCACTTTCTTGACCACTGAAATTATAGGCTTTTATATAGTCCTGGGGATCCAAATTCTGGTCCTCATGTTTGCATGGCAAGCACTTTATCCATTGAGCCATTTCCTCAGTCCAACCAATGGAAAAATGTTAAGATTTATTTTATGTATGTGTATGTGTGCCACATGTGTGAAGGTACATGCAGAGGCTAGACGAGGCTGTCACAACCCCTGGAGCTGGAGTTACAGGCATTTGGGAGCTGCCTGATGTGGATGCTGGCAACCAAACTCAGGTCTTCTGGAAAAGCAGTATGTGCTCTTAACCACTGAACCACCTCTCTAGTTCTAAATGGAAACTTAAGGGAGACATTCTTTTTCCTATAGCTTGGGCTTGTGTTTTGATGCCTTCTATTTCTATAATTCATCATGCTAAGAAGGCAGTATCTTCAGGCTTTACAGATGAGAAGATGGAAGGCTTCAAACTCACAACTAGTAACTGGATGCAAGCCTTGTTCCAGTTCATGTGCTCTCCTATTATATCTGGGATTCCTATACCAGATGGTGGGGTGAGAGTTCAGAACCATGTTATGATGAGGGTTTGGGGGCTAGGTCTCTGTGGCTAGGTGAGGAACTGCTGGGTGTGGAGCAGCTATGCAAAGAAGTGAGTGGCCCACACATGAACAACCACCTATGCAGAGCTGGGGATAGCACTGCTTTCTCTGAGTCCTTGTTCTCCACATCATAACCTGTAGCAGGAAATTGCTTCATGTTCTTAGAACAGTAGTTCTAGACCCTGACAGAGCCCAATGGACCTCATCTTTGTTGGGAGAAGGCAGGCTCACATGCTTTCTAAATTTCTCTTAGCTGATTACAGTTTGCAGTAGGCTTGTGAACTAGTGGGATTTTTTATTTGGGGAAATCCCCCAAAACTTTTATCTGCAGAACCTCCTGTAGAGAAGACCTTAGCACTTAAAAAAGGATTGTGTGTGTGTGTGTGCATGACAAGGGGTGGGCATCTGCAGAGGCCAGAAGGTGGCATCAGATCCCCAGAACTGTAGTTAAAAGGTGGTTGTGAACAACCCTATATGGATGCTGATCAGAACTCATGTCCTCTGTAAGAGCAGTTAGGTAGGTGCTCTCAACCACTGAGTCATCTCTCCAGCCCCCACAGCACTTTTCTGAAGGGGCTAGTTATAGTCCAGGCCTACTGCCCTTGGTCAACAAGGTAGAGAAGGGACTGGTTGTAATCTGGACTTCTTAAAAATTATCTAACTAGGTTCAGCATAACCACCAGCCTCAGCTAGACAGCATTCAGAGACTGGGCTAAGTGACTTTGTGTAAGAGCAAAAGTTCAGCCTGAGAGCTGGCATGGTGGCAAACACCTTTAGTCCTAGCACTGGGGAAGCAGAGGCAGGCAGAGCTCTGTGAGTTCAAGGCCAGCTGGGGCTACAGGGAGACCCTGTCTCCATGACAAGGGGTGGGCATCTGCAGAGGCCAGAAGGTGGCATCAGATCCCCAGAACTGTAGTTAAAAGGTGGTTGTGAACAACCCTATATGGATGCTGATCAGAACTCATGTCCTCTGTAAGAGCAGTTAGGTAGGTGCTCTCAACCACTGAGTCATCTCTCCAGCCCCCACAGCACTTTTCTGAAGGGGCTAGTTATAGTCCAGGCCTACTGCCCTTGGTCAACAAGGTAGAGAAGGGACTGGTTGTAATCTGGACTTCTTAAAAATTATCTAACTAGGTTCAGCATAACCACCAGCCTCAGCTAGACAGCATTCAGAGACTGGGCTAAGTGACTTTGTGTAAGAGCAAAAGTTCAGCCTGAGAGCTGGCATGGTGGCAAACACCTTTAGTCCTAGCACTGGGGAAGCAGAGGCAGGCAGAGCTCTGTGAGTTCAAGGCCAGCTGGGGCTACAGGGAGACCCTGTCTCAAAAAGACAACAACAACAACAAAAAAATGTCCATCCTGGAAATCACCAAACTCCATTTGCAGGTTTAGTTGAGGGAATGGATTTTGTTGTTTTCTGTAGCCATCTCAGGGTAGCTCAAGCTGGCTTCGAGCTCATAATGATTCTGCCTCAGCCCGCTCCCCCATGCTAGAATTACAGGTGAGCACCACCAAGGTGACTGAGCTATTGGTGCTCTTTACAACTGACAAATCAATTTAGAAGGGCAGACACTACACTTCGTAAACCTGCTTCCTATATTACTCCTGGTAATTCATTTGATCTTTATAAGGAGCCAGTGCACCAAGAGGAAGCCCAGGGATTCTTAGAACTCAACCACAGAAACCCATGTTAAGGCAGAAAGGTGTTCCATACCGCAGCCCATGTGTCCTCCTATCCCATGGGGCTAAGTATAGGGGTTAGGGCCACACCACAACAACTAACTTAAGCCCAGTCTCTGAACACTAAGGACATCAGAGCCAAAGGCACTTAGGCACCACACCAAAATCCAATGCTAAATGTCAGAACCTTCAGGGCCAAACCTGGACTCGGGTGATGGAGTATACCTCAGAAAAGACAAGATAGGGTTGGGGACATAGTTTAGCAGCAGAGCACTTGCCTAGCATATACAACACCCTGGGTTTGATCCTTGAACCTTATTTTTTAAATGGAGGAATGGGCCTTGTATATTGGCAAAAGAGATCTCTAGCCTCAGATTCTCAATCCAAATCTCTATGCTAAGCCTTAACATAAAAAGGAGCTTGGATGGGGAGACAATTTAAATGTACTAAGATGAGCGCCCCCCCCCCCCCCCCCCCCCCCCAGCCCCAAGTAGTGTGAAGCAGGGTTCTGGGAACAGGCTCAGAAGCTAATGAACAGCGCCTGCTCCAAGCCAGGGCCAGTAGGGAGGGAGGGTGGGGTAGCAGTGGTAGAATCCAGGGTGTGCTGCTGTGAAATGAGGGCTGAGCATTGTGATCAGAAGCATCAACATCAAGGTCAACTTGGTTCACTCATCAATGCCTGCAAAGCTGCACTTTGATGTAACTGAACTCAGTTTTATGACCAAATAATTTTACTAACAAAAAAAGAGAGGATATTTCTTTCCTGGGCTAAAACACATCTAAGGAGTTAAGATGGTTACGGATCAGGTTTACACCGGTAAAGACTGCCTGACAACAGTTGAGACAAGGGTTTTATTTCAACAAATCATGTTATATGTTTTGAACTGTTAAAGAGGGTGGGCCTGGACATGCACAGATATAATCATAGCACTCTGGAAGGTAGCTCAAGTTTGAAGCCAGCATGGGCTACATAGTATTTGAGGCCAGCCTGGGTTACATAGTGAGACCCTGTCTGAAAAAAAAATCCAAAGGTGGGCTTGAGTGTTGGCTCAGTGGTTAAGAGTGCATACTGATCCTGCAGAGGACTGGAATTTGGTTCTCGGGACTGTCAGGCAGCTCCCTGTAATTCCAGCCCCAGGATTGGGTGCCTCTGTGTTCCTCTGGCACCTGCACTCCCACATAAACACACACAGACATACACTAATTAAAATCAAAAGGGAAGGGAAGGGGGGGGAGAGGAGGAAGAGAGGAAGGGGAAGGGAAGCAGAAAAGACTAAGAAAGGAAAAGGAAAAAGAGAAAAAAGGGGATGTCTCAGCACTTGCTTAGCATGCAAAGGTCCTCCCCCTAAACTGACTTTAGGATAACTCCTGATTTGACCATGTTAAGGCATTTGAAACATGGAGTTTGGCACCCTGTCCTGTGCACAGAGTATGCCTCCATACCTTCAAGCACTCATCAGGTGGGGTTACTGAGCTTAGAGATGCCAAGTAACTTTTGCTCAAGGGTCATGTTATTAGGAGGCAAGATTGAGACCAGGCCAGGTATCCTGTGTGCTGAAGCAGACAAAAAGCAGATTTTGTCTCAAACTCTTGGACCTTCTTTCTCCAAGATGGCACTTGTTTGGTTCACATTTTCAGTCACAAATTGCCGAAGGAGTGGCCTGCTGCTCTGCCCTCACTTTTCCAGTGGCTCTCATCACTGAGCAAGATGGAAATGTGCATAGCCAAAGTGGTAAACTCTAGCTTCTCAGACCCTAAAGATGTTTTAGATAAGATACAGGAGTGACCTCTGGCTATGAACATCCAAAGCTTGAAAGGGCAGACTGATGCTTGGTGTTCTGAGCTCCAAGGCTGCCAGCAAGTCCGAGGGGTTAGAAAAATTTGAATGTGGGGAAGGTTTTTGTTTTTTGCACCCAGGCTATACTTTTGAATACAGGGATCACACTGGGTCCAGCTGTTGAAGTCCGTTTCCTAAGAGCAACCCTGAAATCCCTTTCATAGCCCCTCACACATGGCAAGGTACGCACCCAAGGGATTTCCAGGAGTCACTGAGCTCAAGATGATTCCTGCACCCAAGTGGCAATTGTCAACTTCACCCTAACAGTAGAATCCCTCCATAATGTCCTGCTTCCAAGCCAGGCCCCACCACCTCTCATTATAAATCTGCTCCTACTCTTAGGTTTTCTCAAGTTTTGATACTCAGGTCCTGAGATCATACAGAATAACTTCCCTAACTTATGTTTTCCGTTTAGGGTTGAGATAGGGTCTCACTATGTAGCCCAAGCTGGCCTTTAACTTAATCTTCCTCAGCTTCCCAAATGCTAAGATTATAAATGTGCCCCACCATACTGGCCCCAAACCCGTATCCGTTTGAAAATGCTGAAGTTACAAACTCTGTGCATATACTTAAATGTTAGGAATTTGTACTTAATTTTATTTTTGAACTATGGACAGAATTCACGTATTTTCTTGGAGACAGGGTCTTGCTATATAACCCAGACTGGCCTTGAATGTGGGATTCTTCTCTCAAGTGCTGGCATTACAGGTACACACCCCCATCAACAGTTGGGGGGCAGGGGTTGTAGGCCATTGTGAGGCCTGGTCCTTGTGTCCAATTTTAGGATACTGGTTGATATTCATTCTTTAAATGTAAATTAAGGAAAGGTGAAAAAAGAACTCCCAAGAGCTGGAAGGACTCCACAGGAGAAATACCCTAATTTTTATTATTGTATGATAGGGAGGGGGTATGACATGGCACCATTTGTGTCAGTCAGGACAATTCTGGGGAATTCTCTCCTTCCACCTTTATTGGGACTTCTGGGGCTCAAACTCAGGTAGACAGGCTTTGATGCAATGCTTTTCCCCACTGAGCTATCTCACAGGCTCCTGATCCACAGCAATTCTAAGAGTTGTGGCTGAGTGAAATTCCTGCAGTACAAGGGAAGCTCCAGGAAAGCTTCTGTGGCTCTGGTGGGAAAAGTTTAAATTTTTAAAGGGGAAAGGAATGGTTTTGTTATTTCTAACGGAACCAACACATTACAAGTTGTTATGTTAATGATCTAGGGAGAGATGAAAGTTTCTAGTGCCTGAGGATCAGATGCCCCTTATCCTAAATGCATCTGTCAAATACCAGGCTTGCAAAGTTCCATGATCACCTCCCACTTGCTGCACATGACCTCTGACACCAGGTGAGCACCAAGTCATCCTGGGACCCCAGGGAGCCAGGCCAGCAGAAGAGGGATAGTAGTACCTTTTGTTCAAGAAAAGGCTCCAGACTAGAGTGTAGATGAGTACCCTGGGGCAGAGGACACCTTTGCCGAGTCTGGCAAAAGGACAAGGCACAGGGAGGCACTCAGGCTACTGCCTGACTTCTCTGAAGACAAGCACAGATGGAAGGAGGCCCCAAGGCGTCAGCAGCAACACAGACATTCCTAGGCCTGTTGATATGGGTGGGGTAGAATTCTAAAGTTTAGTGACGTGACAGTGGGCCTTGGGACTGGCCAGCCTAGGCAAGGATTCCAGTTGAAGATCAAAGAGCAAGAGCCCAAGATCCCTGACCATGCACCTGGCTCAAATGATGGCTGGTTTGCTGGGAAAGATTTCTGAATGCTGGGAAGACTTTACAATGTGCAGCTGGTTCCCTCATGTTCTCCTCTGCAGGCACTGCAGTCTGGGGCTCCCCTTTGTCATCCACAAAATGGGGCAAGATGGAAGTACCCAACTTACTGTGAAAGTATTTAGATATTTCCCAGGAACAACTGCAAGAAGGCCACATGTTTCTGCATGTTTCCAGACCTCTCCTTGGGTAGAGGCCGTTGTCCTCTCTGAGCACACAGGGCAATGAAAGCAGAGAGGCAGAACCTGCACACTACTATGTGCACATTCATTTGTTAATTCAACAAACATTTATTAAGCGCCTATGTGTGCCAGGTCCTAGGGACCCAGAGCTGGATGGTGTTTAGGCCCTGCCCTTCAAGCAGCTCACAGTCTAGGGCCAGACAGTAAACACACGAGTGACAAGTGCCATGAAGTGTTGAGGCAGAAGTATGACAAAGTGCTGGAGCACAAAAGGGTAACTGACGAATGCTTCCTGGGCAAGGGTCAGGAAGGGCTTCACACACTCAGTGCCATAGCAGTGCCTTTCACTTTGATGCCATATCATCAAAACCTTGAATGCTGGTCCACAAAGGACCCCTGGGTTAAGTGGAAGCAAGGCCTCTTCTGTTTCCTCAGGACAATCCCCAACATGTACTGAGTGTCCTCCCCTGCCAGCACCTGCAGTGACTAAGGAAGCTGTTCCCTAATTCAAGGAGCCAATGAAGGAGCAGCTATCCAGAGAGCCAACCCTCAGGACCCTGACATGGCTTAGGAGCAGAGATCAACTTACAGCTTCTACCACCCCACCCAAGGCCTCCTATTATTCCCAATGACATCTCTGAGCTGGTCTACGAGGTTACTTCTTTACACTGTGAGGAGGCCTACTTAACTCCTGTCACTGGTCTTCCTTTTCATGTGCAAGCACCAGCCACCTCTCAGGTGCCTGACACAGCCTTGCTAGCCCGGCAAAACAGACCACTGCAGGAGGCCTTGCACTCAAACATTCACAGCCGCCGCACCAGCTCAATGAGCTGCTGAATGTTTTTGTTTTGGTTGGACAAGCCATTCCTGATGTTTTCTAGCAGGCATCTCTTCAATTCAAAAATGGCCTCACTGTAACCCAGGCTCACAGCAGCCATGGGTGGCGCTCCATGCCACAGAGCTGGGATGTGCCAGACATGCTGCCTCTCTGCCAGGCCTGCCAGTGTCCGGAAGCCGCCGCCCTGCTTCTCCATTTGGGCAGCAGCTCTGTTCAGGTCACTGGGCGGATCCAGGAGCTGCCTCCTGTCTCTCGGCTTGGGACTGGGGACAGAAACATCATGAAGATTCTGGTACACAAACTGATAGTTGGGCATGTGCCCTGTTTTTTCCAACCTCAGAAATGCATGCAGAATAGCTGGTGGAATGTCCTTCGTTTCAGCTAAACTGACTACAGTGACATTGCTTAGCCCCATAAGTAGAGTGGCCAAGGAAGCCTCCAGTTCAAACCTGTCTCCAGCAGAGGCCAAGGCCCCACTAATCAACCCCCCAGAGTCTATCACCAGTATCTGGTCACAGCCCAGGTCCTGGCTGAAGCCCTCAGTCACAGGCAGGAGCTGCATGAAGGCCCCCCGGGGACTATAGCTCCTGCCTGTAGCAAACTGCAGGCCAAACATGGTGTTAAGAAGTGTGGATTTCCCTGTGCCTGGGACTCCCAGGGTAGAAAGAACCACTAGTCGAGATCTCCTGTCTAGGCGGACATGCAGCTCCTTGAGAAGCCCTGTGACCCAGCGAACAGGGATGCTCAGGGTGGACCCATCAACCAGCTCCAGCGGCAGCCCAGTCAGCAGTAGGTCCATGGCCAGGCCTGGGAAGTGGGCAAAGCGCCTCTGGCCAGCAGGCAGCCTCCCTGCCTCTACCAGGCAGCTCTCTGCCTCAAAGAACTGCCCCATCTCCCGCATGAAGTGCTCTACCCCCAAGGGTTCAGGCCAGAGTGGTTCACTCAAGTCTGAGGCCCCACCAAGTTTTGGTCTCAGGGTAAGAAGAGTCTCTGGAGGCTGTCTCAGCCGTGGCTGGCCCACTCGAGCCAACCCCCATTCCATCCACCTCAGAAAGTACTGCCTCTCACTCAGGGAGGGACTGCTAATCCCTGTGATGAACTCCTGCACCCCTGAGGTGGGCTCCTGGCCATTCTGCTGCATCCGCAGCTCTAGGACCAGCCGTCTCAGCTCAGCCCGGTGCTTCTCGGGTGGCTCCGAGGCCCACTGGAGCTGGCAGAACTCCCTTTCCACTTGGGCTACCTTCCTGGCAGGGTCCCCCTGCAGCCTCAGCTCATCTCTCCTGTAGGTGTCCACATCCTTGATCTTCCTGATGATCCTCTCCATCCGGTCCTTTGCCTTCTGACACTCCTCACAGTCCTCATCAACTCTGAGGCCTAATTTACGGGCTGCATGTGCCATGTCCTCCACAGATACCCTCCTGCAGGGAGACCGTGCCACACCGCCCATAATCACGCGGATCCTCCTCACGAAGCTCTCGCTGTCAGTACTGCTGACCTTCACCAGGACATGAGAGTGGTCTATCTTCAACACAGGTATCAGCTTGTTCAGGAAACGCAGGTTTGTGTTCCGCTTCCCTCGGTAGGGACTCAGGATGAAGTAGTACTTGGTGGTTGACTCCTTCATAGAGTATAGTAGTTTATATTCCTTCTTACTGATGTTGTCAGTCAAAATAAATACAGCTGAGGAGACTTCTGCCAAGAGCTTGAACTGCAGCCAGTGAGACCCAATGTCACCTCTCAAGTTCAGAAAGGCCATAGGCTCTGGGAAAACATCCAAGTCCTCTTTGCCACTGGGGAAAAACCAGGAAATTTCTACTAACCCATCTGCGATCTCTCGTGAATTGGTGCCTAAGTTGAGGTCCCGATGCCAGAAGCAGTCCCACTGGCGGCGACCTGGGCTGAGGATGGCATTGAGCAGCTGGGACTTGGAGTTGCTGCTGACATCCATGCGCACAAAGGCAAAGGTGGGCATCCTGGATAGGACCACACTGTCTTCTCGAAAACTACCAAGGCCCCGTGGGGGCTGGAACCACCACGTCCGCACAACACCCCGCAGGGCCCATAGCAGAAAGGTATGGTAGTGATTTTCTGAATCAGGCAACACAAGTGGGAGTGCAAACTGGCAGAGGGACATCTTCAACAGGACTTCCTGCTGCAGAAAGGTATCTGAAGACAGCAGAAGGGCACAGAGAAGGTCCAGGGGGTTCACAGGGGTATCAGGCATGGGTAGCTCAGAAAAGGAGTAGATATCATCAGCAGCAATGTCCTCAGCTGGGTCCCAATAGATCATCTCCTCCTCCATCTGGCTCTCTTTCTCCACAGGCCAGACATCCGGAGGCATGTCCAGCACCATGGTGGTATTCCTAGCTTCAGCATTGAGGGCCTGCAGCTTCCTGAGGAAATGCCAAGGCAAGTCCTTGGGAACCTGAGGAGCCCAGTTCTTCATGCTGTCAAAACTGATCTGCAGTGAGTCCTGGAGGCTGAGCTTCTGTACCTGGTATGCCTCCAGTCCCAGCAGGGACAGCATTTCCTGAAGCCTGCTTCTCTCCACTGTAGAAAAAAAATGGACACATTTACAGAGCATTCATGTAAATATACTGATTTTCAGTTTCTTTAGAAATCTGTAGGCGCCAACTCTGAGCTCAAAGCAAGTAATTTAGAGTGAGCAGCACATGCTTCCTAGGTGTTGAATATAAACACCACGCCACAGGGTTATTTCAAAGTTTATACCTCATGCTCTAGCCCAGCCCCAGGTTCCTTCAGCCTCATCAAGAAGCTGGAAGGGCACTGCAGCACGTGCCCATAATTCCAGCACTGAGGAGGCTGAGGTAGGAGAATTGCTGTGACAAGCCTGGGCTATACAGTGTGAGCCTATCTCAAAAACTGGGGGGAAAACATATCACCAGGAAATTCCCCAGGATACATAATCACTATTCATACTCTGGGCTGTCTTGTTAATGTTTTTTCTTTGTCAATAAGTTGGAGACTATTTTAAAGGAAAATAGCAACCATAGCATAGCTCAGCACCATTTCGCAAATCCAAGACCAATCATGCAGGGTTCTGGTTTTTGTTATGGTTTGAATTTTTTTGTGCCCCTAGGGATTGAAAGTCTTGTGTATGCCGGGAAAATGCTCTAGCATTGAACTACATCTCTAGTGCTTGATATTCTGAGAGAGAGTCATTATACAGATCAAATTCATCTCAAACTTGTGATCCTCCTACTGCCTCTGCCTCTCAAGTTGCTAGGATTATATGCATAAGCCATCACTCCCAGTGCAATGAGTTTTAATTACAATAACATATTTGGTGTTGACTACCATTTGGTGGACATTCAATGGCACAGATATTCAAATGAAACTCAAATGCTTACAAGTTAAATGCTCAGAAAAGCAATGCTACTTCCAAAGTTCCAACTGTACCCCAGGTCTTAGCCTGACATCTTACCCAGGTTCATATTCAACATAACTGGTTTGTTCGTTTGTTTGTTTGTTTGTTTATTTACTTATTTATTTATTTATTTATTTATTTATTTATTTATTTTTCAGAGCTAGGAATGGAACCCACAAGTTTGGCAAGTACTCTACCGCTAAGCTATACTCTTAGCTCTTTTTTTTCTTTCTTTCTTCTGAGATTGGAGTGGGGGTGAGATGAGGGAGTTGTCTAGTCTGGTCTCAAACCTGAGGGTGGATTCAATCAATCCTCCTACCTCTACTTTAGTACTACACAACACTACAACATCCATAGGTGTGTCCCATAGCACTGGTTATAGGGCACAGAATTCTACATTTATGTGTGTGTGTGTGTGTGTGTGTGCGTGCGCGCACATGCCATGGCACATGTGGAGGTAAGAGGACAACTTGTGGAAGTCCCAGGGATCAAACTTTGGTGTCAGGCTTGGCAGCAAGTACCTTTACACACTGGGTCATCTTGAGTTCTACAGCAATGTGACTGCAGGACCACCCTGAGAGTTACAGGGGGTCTATGAAGCTGTTTTTAAAACAGAAGAAATGGACTGGTGCAATGGCTCAGCAGGTAAAGAAAGTCTGATGACTTGAGTGATCCGAGGACCTACTTGCTAGAAGGAGAGAACCCATTCCAGCAAGTTCTCTAGTCACTGTATGTGCATATACACAAAGAATAAGTAAATAAATGTAATTTTTAAAACAAATAAATGAGGGGCTAAGGAGGTGGCTCAGTGGTTAAGAACACTGGTTGTTCTTGCAGAAGACCTGGGTTCAAATCCCAGCACCCACATGGCAGCTAACAACTGTCTGTAACTCCAGTCCCAGGGGATCTGACAGCCTCTTAGGACCTCTTCGGGCATTGCATGACACGGGTGCACTTACCTACATGCAGGCAATATGTGCATACACATAAAAATAAAAATAATAATAATTTTTTTAAAAGTTTAAAAAATAATAAAATAAACGAAAACAGAAGAACTACAAAGGAAGAGTTGCATTGTGTCAGAAATCCTGCACAGTTGTTACTCAGTTTTCCTAGTTATGCCCAAGTGAAACCAGGAACAGTTTTTCTTGTCTAAACATAAGACAACTATTTTTATTGTTTAAGTAGCATTATAGTAAAGAAATTTGGAAAAACCACAGCAAATGACCTGATTCTATATATGTACCGGTACCCAACATGTGGCTCTTGGCAGACTGTTCAGCAACTCTGGGCCCAACTTTGTCAATCTGCATATGAAGCTATTGTCTAAACCTGTTAGCTGCACATTAGAATCACTGCAGGAACTTGTTAAAAATAAAATAAATGGGCTGGAGAGATGGCTCAGCAGTTAAGAGCACTGAGTGCTCTTGCAAAGGACCCAGGTTCAATTCCCAGCACCCACATGGCAGCTACAAACCGTCCTTAACTCCAGTTCCAGAGGAATCCGACGCCCTCTTCTGACCTCCAAGGCATTGCACGACACAGGTGCTCTCACATACACACAGGCAGTATACTCATACACATAAAAATAAAAATAATAAATAAGATGTCAAAAAAAAAATAAAATAAAATATGTGGGGGGAGCCTTCAATGACAAAGAAGCTCACTTTGGCAGTGGGTAGGCTGGGGGAACCACTGGTTACTCCATATAGTTAGTAAGTGCCCTACAGGTTTAGTTTTTAGCAACATTATTAATGGTCCATAAAAGGTTAATGAACAGGGGTAGTGTAGATCCAAATACCCAAGTGATTTGATATAGTCAGATGTGGGAATTACCCACCTAGATATTCTTCTCCAAAAGAATGGGAAGCTAGAAAAGAAGAGAAAAAGTATACCTGTTGGGAAGTCATTGTCCTGAGCCTCATTTGTACCATCTACAAGAAAAAGCAAAAGAAAACAAAGGGGATTAATCAAATAACATGTCTTTGATTGACACCAGTAAATTAAGTAAAACTCAGACCCTTTTTCTCTTATCAAGACTGCAATTTCTCTCAATTTTAACAATTGAGAGATATAAAATATAAAACTCCAGCTATTTTTCACCTTTTTTACATCCCCTCATCTTCCCCAACCCAATTTGTGCCATGTCCCACAGCTTCTACCTCCATAATGGAACCCGCAGTCATCTCCTTCCATTTCTCTCCATTCCAAATCTAGAAGGAAAAAACAGTCATTTCACTTCACTGGCAAGTTATAACCTTTCAAAATCAAAAAGTTTGAGAGGCTGGAGCCAGGTGTGGTGGCACATGCCTTTAATCCCAGCACTTGGGAAGCAGAGGCAGGCAGATCTCTGTGAGTTTGAGGCCAGCCTGGTCTACATAGTGAGTTCCAGGACAGCTGGGGCTACAAGGAGGCCCTGTCTCAAAAAAAAAAAAAAGACAAAAAAAAAAAAAAAAGTTTGAGAGGCTGGGATCAGAGAGATGGCTCAACAGTTAAGAACACTGGCTGCTTTTGCAGAGGATCCAGGTTCAGTTCTCAGCACCCACATGGCAGCTAACAACTGTCCATAACTTCAGTTCCAGGGGATCGGAGGCCCACTTCTGGCCTCAGAGGGCATTGTACACACATGGTACACTTACATACATGCAGGCAAAACACTTATAAAAATAAATTTTTTTAAGAATGGTATTTTTTGGGGCCGGATATGGTGGCGCATGCCTTTAATCCCAGCACTTGGGAGGCAGAGGCAGGCAGATCTCTGTGAGTTCAAGGCTAGCCTGGTCTACATAGTGAGTTCCAGGTCAGCTAGGGCTACAGGGAGACCCTGTCTCAAAAAGACCAAAAAAAAAAAAAAAGGTATTTTTATCAGAGCATAAATCCCAGGCAGGAGGAACAGACAAAAGTGGGAAGAGTTGTTATTTACAAGTCAAGTGCTACTACTCAAAGGCTCTAACATCATGGAATGTTCATCAATACTAATATTGTGATTACTGAATGTATTCATTAATGTTATTCACATATTTTTGTTGGGGAAAAAGACCTTAAAACCCTATAGATTTACCTACAAATACACAATATAAAAGGGGGCCAGACAGTTGGGGGTGGGGTGTGTGTGTGTGTGTGTGTGTGTGTGTGTGTGTGCGCATTCCCATGCTCCTGCAGCCCAGAGGTCAGTTTTGGGTGTTATTCTCCAGGTACCATAACCTTATTTTTGAGACAGGGTCTCTTCAAAAGCCTGGAGTTCAACAATTAGGCTAGGCTAGCTACTCAGCACAGGGATTACAGGCATGTGCTACCACACCAAGATATAGTTACATGGTTTTTAGAGATCAAATAAATTTTGGTCTTCATGCTTGCACAACAAGGCCTTTACTAAGCTCTCTCTCCACTTCTTATTTTGATCTTTGATCTAAATTAAAGTAGCAAGAATTCTAAAATTTATTTTATATTTTGGTTTTAGATAGATAGATCAAATACAAGTTCTTATGCAATCTAATTGTATGCTCCACCACTCAGCGTATATATTCCCACCTCTTAATTTTTTTTTCTTATGGTACTAGAGATCAAACTAGAGCTTTGTACATATTAGGCAAGTACTCTACCATGGAGCTACAGTGCTGATTTTTTTTATTTATCAATTTTCTCATGATTCCCTCATAGTTAGTAGATAAACCTAACATTTTACCGGGCATGGTAGCACACGCCTTTAATCCCAGCACTTGGGAGGCAGAGGCAGATGGATCTCTGAAGGGTCATCCTGATGTACATAGAGTTCCAGGTCAGCTGGGGCTACAGGGAGACCCTGTGTCCCCCCAGACCCCCCCACAAAAGAAAAGAAGGAAGAGAAAAGGAAAAGAAAGTGCAAAGACTTGAAAAACACATTGAGATGGAAATCATTTTATAGAACGAAAAATAAAATCCATAAGCTTAGAGATCCACAATTCTGAGCCCAGTAGAATCCAGAATCCAACAGAAAAAAACAACAACAAAAACACCCTATCTATGTCAAAATAGGTCTTCGGCTAGAGAAATGGCTCAGCAGTTAAAATCACTGGTTGCTCTTCCAGGGGACCCAGGTTCAGTTCCCAGCACCCACATGGAGGCTAACAATCATCCATAACTCTAGTTCCAGGGGATCTGACACCCTCTTCTGGCCTCCACAGGCATTGTATACACAGGAACAGTTACATACATGCAGGCAAAACACTCATACATAAAAAAAAAAATTTTTATTTAAAAAAAAATGGCTCCAAGTCTAATTTTACCTGCAATTGCCACGGCTGTTTGGCTATCTGAAGGTTTTATTTCTGGGGCCACTTCTCCCAAATCTGAGTGCCTGAAATTTTTCAGAAGAAAATTATAGTTAAAATAATGTACTACCAATTTCACCTATCAAATTGGCTACATATAAAGATCTAGGGGAGCTTTTAAAAACTATAGTATCTTACCCAGTAAGATACTAGAATCCAACTTGGGGTTGGAGAGATGGCTCAGTGGTTAAGCACTTATACTGTTCTTCTATAAGACTGAAATGTAGGCAGTCATAACTGCATGTAACTCCAGCTCCAGGGGAACTGACACCATCTTCTGGCTTCCTGGAGCTACCTGCACTCATGTGCACATTCATAGTCATTCATCCCCCATCCCCCCCCCCCCCCCCCCCCCCCTTTGGGAGCCACCATTTAAATCTACAAACTCTGGGTACATCTCAGATCCATGAAAGCAGAACTTCTGGAACTGGCCCTGGGCATCTCTGTTTTTAAAGTACCCTCTATGACAACGTAAAGCCCAGTGGAGATATGTCAGTCTAGAAATAGCAACCACAAAGCTGTTGGCCAACACATTAATACAGCCATTCAGAAGGACATAAAAGCATACATACCCTTTGACCAGTAATTCCACTTCTATCCTAAAAAGATAAGATTTAGTTACAAAGATGCTGATGCCAGCTTGACATACAATAGCAAAAGTTGATTTGAAAATGCCTTTTCAAATCAAAGTCCAAGAATAGGGAATTATTAGGCTGGGTGTGGTAGCATGCCTTTTATTCCAGCACTGGGGAGGCAGAGGCAAGAGGATATCTTTCAGTTCGAAGCCAGCCTGGTCTACATAGTGAGTTCCAAGCCAGGTGGGACTACAGGGAGACCCTGTCTCAAAAAAGACCAAAAAACAAAACAAAACAAAACAAAACAAAAACAAAAAAGAATGGGAAATTATTGCCTTGTAACTATCACAAAATATTGTGTGAATTCCTTTTTGTAGGCAAAACAATTTTTGATGAACCATTATAGAAGGATACTAACAACAAGTCAATTAGAAGGGAAAAGTTACAGAACAGTATGTATAATATAATATAATAAAATTATGTATGTTTAAATACAGATACATATAGAGAAATCTAGATGTATGGCCATAAAAAATTAGTAGTGTAGAGGACACGGTAAAAATGCTTATAGTGGGGTAGGCATGGTGGTGCACACCTTTAATCCCACCACTCAGGAGGCAGAGGCAGGCAAATCTCTGGTCTACACAGCAAGTTTCTGGCCAACCAGGGCAACACAGTGATAACCTGTCTCAAAAAGAAGAAAGTGTTTATAGTGCAGAACTAGGTGTGGTAGCACACACCAGTAATCTTGGCACTCAGAAGATTGAGGCAGAAGTAGCTCAACTTCTAGGTCAATCTGGTCTATATGTAAGATCCGTTCTCAAACAAACTTAACAGTGTAGGCTGCTTGCCTTGGTTTTGTTATTTGGTGTGAATGTGCTACTGGAGTTCAAACTTGCAGCTGCCCACATGCTAAGCAAATACTCTACCACTAATATAAACCCCAACCCCTGTATTCTTCTAAGTAGATTTGAGAACTAGAATTCAATTAAAAATAAACTATTTTGTCAGGAAACACGGCTCATACCTGTAATCCCAACACCAGGAAAACTGAGGGAAGAGGATTATGAGTTCCAAGACCAGACTAGGCTACAGAGCCAACCCTATATCCAAAATAAACCAAATAAAGACAGACAGAAAGAAAAAAGAAAAAGGAAAAAAAGAAAATTAAACAAAAAATTATTTTAGGTATACCACAGTAACAACAAACAAGGGCCAGAAGGATGGCTCAGGGGGTAAAAGCACTTGCCACATAAGCCTGATCCCTGGAACACATGGAAAAAGCCAGATGGTGGTGGTGCATTTATATCCTAGCATTCCTATAGCGAAATGTGAGGTGTGAGGCAGATTCCTGGGAGGATGGCCACCTAGCCTGGAGTAATGCCGAGCACAGCAACAGAACAAGAGACCCTTGCCTCAAAAACAAAGGAGAGAACTAACTGACTCCTGAAAAGTTGTCCTCTGACCTTCACCTATCACCACAGCATGCTAGTACAGTTCTTGGCCCCTCTCTCCCTCCCTCTCGCTGACTCCCTCTCAACATGCTTAATTTGTTTTTTAAAGACATGAACAAACAAGTTAAATGTGTTCATTTTGCCTGAGGCCAGGTTCTGACTATGAAAGGATAAGCATACCAAAATACTGGCTAGAATTTACAAAACTTCTACAGGCAATGGGGTGAACTATGACTTGTATATTCATGCTCCTGTGTGTACATGCATATGTCTGTGCACGTTGTCTATATATATGCATCTGCTTCTTAACTTTGTTCACTGAAAAAGCCAACAAGCAAAGATACTGCCATAAGCAATGCAAACACATCATACCTTCAATGCCATTCCATGCTAAAAGAAATAAGGGTTCCTTGGAGATGCTGGCTGATGCCAGGGCTGAGGAAGGGAGACAACAAGAGGAACTTGAGCATCATGGTTTAAAAAGTAAGGAAGTGCTCTGAAAAGTCTTGGGACATGCCACAGAACTCAGGCACCAGCTCAAGGGGTTCCCACTGCTGTTCCAAAGCAGGGACAACATGAGTAGAAATAGAGTTAAATAATTAAAGACCACTGAAAAACAAATTAGTCAATAGAGATAATAAATAGCTGAGAAGTACTTTTGCTCACAACAGAATGCAAAAAGTGGAGGATGGAGGGGTTGCCACATTAAGAATAGTACCATTTGCACTCAGGAGACAGAGGCAGGCAGATCTCTGTGAGTTCAAGGCCAGCCTGGTCTATGTAGTGAGTTCCAGGACAGCTGGGGCTACAGGGAGACCCTGTCTCAAAAGGAAAAAAAAAAAAAATTGCGTCCCCTAAGCTTTTATTGTATTTTTAAATTTGGATACCCAATTTGCGCATTCTTTTTTCTCCATTTAGAGATGTATTTGAGTTTATTCTATTAGACTGTCTCTGAATTCTGTTTTAACCATTTCCCATTGGTCTTGTGTGCTGTATTTTCATTTTTGTCATTTTCTAGATATTCTTGCATTTCTGTTTAGATTTACTCTTGTATCTTTGAGAAATTTTTATTAGGAATTTAGAAAGGGCTAAACTAGGCAACTGTTTTAAGCTATGATATTCTATTGAAAGCACAAAAGTTAAATGCATGGAGGTCAAAGAAAATGTGAGGGAGAGTTCAAATGAGTTCTTAGAACCAACAGCAAACTGCTTTTATGTATGGTCTTAGAGCCAGCTAAGCCTGGAAGAATCTGTTGAGTCAAATAAGTGAAGAGCTAGGGGACAAGTCGGGGAAAAAACTAAAAGGTGTGGCTGATGAGTCAGCACCAGGTATACAGGGGCAAGGTGTACAATCTGCCCATCTTCCCCTAAACTCTCACTGATTTCTTAGTGTCTAACCCCAGTGTATCCTCTTGAAGACCTATTATGTTGACTTATAAGACTGTAAGTTCCTCAAGGGCAGAGGCCGAGTCTATGGCAGTAACAGGTCTAGGTGTTTCCCTTACCTAACAGAACTATGGGTGATCATGGTGTATGAGGCCAGAGTTTCACAGACACTTGGGACCTAAGATTCCACTAAATGCATTTTAGAATTGCATAAAGCCTTTAGAAGGCATCTGTTGTCAACACAGATTAGTTGATATGAAAATGTGCTTCGGATGAATCACTGGTTTTAACTGTTTGCACAATGTGACTATAGTGTCATAATGTGTTAGTGCAATTTTTTCTCCAGTTTTCAAAAACTATTTTAAAAATTTATTATTTTAATTTTATGTGCATGTGTGTATTGCCTGCATGTAGGTAAGTACACCTGTGTCATGCAATGCCCTCAGAGGACAGAAGAGGCTGTCGGATCCCCTGGAACTGGAGTTACGGACAGCTGTTAGCTGCCATGTGGGTGCTGGGATTCGAACCCAGGTCTTCTGCAAGAACAGCCAATGTTCTTAACTGCTGAGCCACCTCTCCAGCCCCAAATTTAAAAAATTTTAATTACAGCCAGGCGTAGTGGCGCATGCCTTTAATCCCAGCACTCGGGAGGCAGAGGCAGGCAGATCTCTGTGAGTTCAAGGCCAGCCTGGTCTACATAGTGACTTCCAGGACAGCTGGGACTACAGGGAGACAGACCCTGTCTCAAAAAGACAAAAAAAAAAACCCAAAAATCAAACAAAAAAAAAAAGTCATTCTTTCCTCCTACCACATAGGTCTTTGGGATTGGATCAAGTCATCAAGTTTGGTGGCAAGCACATTTACCAGAGGTGTTATTTCACTAGCCTTTATTTGAATGTTTACATTTTATAAGGTGTATAAGTGTTTTGCCTGCATAAGTGTACCACATTCACCCAGTACCCACAAAGGAATCAGATGAAACTGGAGTTATGGATGATTGTGAGCCACCATATAAGTGCTGTGAACCAAACCCAGGTCCCCAAAAGCAGCAAGTGTTCTTAACCACTGAAGTATTTCTCCTGCCCCTATTTCAATCTTTTTTTGTTTTGTTTTGAGACAGGGTCTCACTGTGTAGTTCTACCCGACCTAGAGCTTGCTCTGTAGAACAGGCTGGCCTTGCCCAGTCCTATTTGAATTTTAAAACAGACGTATGTGTTATTTTAATAAAGAAACAGAGGTAACAGTCATGGTTGTGCACACCTTTACCCCAGCACTTGTGAGGCAGAGGCAGGTGGATCTCTGTGAGTTCAAGGCCAGCCCGGTCTACATACCAAGCTCCAGGCCAGCTGAGGCTACAGGGAGCCCCTGTCTCAAAAAGACCAAAAACTAAATAAATAATAATGATAAAATAAATAAAAAAATTAATAGAGTAAAATGATGCTGTAAATAGGTAAGGGTATCTGCCCGCCAAGCCTGACAACCTAAGTTCAATCCTTGGGACCCACATGGTAGAAGAAAACCAACTTCTACAAATTGTCCTCTAACTTCCACATGCACATGAACACACTAAATAAATAATATAAAAACAAAAGAAGAAAATAGTATGTCTTGTAAAAACAGTTCCTCAGAGCAAAAGCTGCACAACTGGCCCAGAGGCCCAAGCATATTGCAGAGGATCCCAGGTAGGGAGAGGCTAGAGGACAGACAGGTTTCTATAGTTCAGGACACTAGTCACTTATGTGTTCCCAGACTAGATACTTGTCCCTAGAACATATATTCCAGGTAGTACAAAGGACAATAATTTACCTTCACCTTCTATCCCATGCAAGAAAACAGTAAGCAAGTACCACTGCCCCAGGGTGACCTTGAGTCTGTGCTCATTGTATAAAAGTGGCAAATTCTGAAGTTCTCACCTAAGGTGATTGTATTCCGACATGAAGCCTTTAAGTAATTAAGATCAAATAAAGCTCTAAAGGTAGGGCCTTCATGTGATGGGACTGCTGATATTTAAGATGAAGGCCACACTCTTCCTGCAGACACAAGAGAAAAGGCCCTCACCAGAAACCAAATCTACAGAACTTGGATCTGGTATCTCCAGATCTGTTAACAGCTGAGGTTTAAGCCTCCAGCTTATGGCATTCTTTTCTGGCAGCTCAAGTAGACCCAAATTCATACTACAAGGTG